AGTACACCGAACACATACTGAACAAGCAAGGGCCGCGGCTAACGCCCAAGCGCCGCCGACGGCTATTTGCCGTCCCTCGGCCAATCTTACTTATCTTCCGACAACTACCGTACACTTCAGCATGAATAATAAACTGAGACAGTTTAAGGACTAAACACACGGAAGAACTCGATTAACATTGAAACAATAGGCCTCGGCCCGCGGCTACCCCCACTACGCGCGATAGGCGCGGGGCGCCGGCTAGGGCCCTTTCATCGGCCATACTTCATCTTATCTTAATAATTTAATCATGCTGAACTATCAATAACCTTAACTGATCATTTAAAAGCTTATTGTTTGAAAGTTGTCGGAAGAAAACGAAAATTGTTCGGTGATTACTTTACTTATGCATACATGGACTTAGGTGCGGTTTTTAACATGATTTCTGAAATTCCTCCGCACTATTAATCTGAAATAATCTTAATTACTTCAAACATGATCTGAGGAGACGTTTACCTCACCAATCGCTCGACGGAACTCGCAACAAACGTGTACTTAAAGCCTGGCGCTCGCCGTGCGGTAGCCTCTCGCCTTTGCCGTGCGATTGCTATAAAAAAAATTGGGAGAATTTTGGATGAACTGGTTGCTGAGGGAAGGGAAGATATATGCTGAGCTTATAGGGGAAAATTGGGCAAAATTCTCCCAAGATGCACGCTTAAATAGTGGTTCGGCCGTGAGGTATTGGTGATGCTACTCATGCGTGGCCACCTTAGGCTTTTTCCACTTGTTCATCTCTTGTGCTCCTTATGATGACTAAGCTTACTTATTGCTTGACAAATTGCTAAGTTTGATTGGTCAATAAAACCTTCCTTGAGCTTGAAGAACCCACGGCAAAGTTGGAAATATTTTGGGAAAATTTTCTAAGTCATGGACGGCAATTTAGGGTTTAGTACTATTAACTTGTGATTAATCTTAATTAATCACTCATTTGATGTTTAATTGTTAAATTAAACATAATACTTAATTACCAAAATTATTTCGGACGTAAACGGTACGCCGAAAATAAATTTCGGTAATTCCGACTGAACTTATTTAATTCCGAAAATAATAAACGATAACGTTACTATATCGGAATTAAACGTATCTCGGGATATTACAATATGGTATCATCATCATCATATTTATTAACTTCAAACATTTATTCAATTTTTAGCCTAGACCTATGAGGGTTGAGCTTCCACAGTAGAAACCAAACACAGAGTTTGGTTCACTTGCGAACCCTTTCGAGCTCCCAAGCGAAGCATCCATGGATTCCAGCAGAGGAGGCAGCAGCAAATGGAGAAAGAGGCCCACATTTCTTCAATATTACAGAACGCCCATCCTTCTCGCCGCCGTGCTAATCTTCGCCGCCCTCTTCATCTCCTCCCGAACCCTCGTCGCCCCTTCTCATCGCTTTTCCTTTTCCCCATATTCCCGGCAGCCCAACCCATCGCCGTGCTCCAAAACACTCGGGGACAGGTTCCTCTGGTACGCCCCCCACAGCGGGTTCAGCAACCAGCTCGCCGAGCTCAAGAACGCTGTTCTAATGGCCGCCATCCTAAATCGGACGCTGGTCGTGCCTCCTGTTCTCGATCACCACGCCGTTGCCCTTGGCAGTTGCCCCAAATTTCGGGTCTTGGATCCGAATGATTTGAGATTTAGGGTTTGGAATCACAGCATTCAGCTCATCCGCGACCGCAGGCAAGTTCGCCTCTTTTTTCCTCCCCCAGTATTTTTATTTTCTCTTAATTGATTAGTGTTTGATTTGGATCGTGGGTTTTCTTGACGAAGCACATTACAGTCATGGATTCTAATTTTGTTGGGGAAGTTTGTTTAAATTTGGTTTTGATTACTGCGGTGAGCTTATTCCTTGATGACTACAATGGTGTTCATCTGCATTTTTAACGTTATTATTGAGGTTTGACTTGTATCCATTTACTGCTGTGAAGAGGTGAAATCGTGTTTATAAGAATCTGCTCGAGTACGAAATAGGTATTATACCAAGAACATGATGAACTTGACACCCATTTTTGGCTTCTTGCTGACATTTGTGGGCAGAGTTTGAGTTCTGTGCTGCATACAAAGCTCTAGTATGCATTTATACACATTAGCTATGTTATCATCCTTTTGACTCCATTATATTTGCGGGCTAAGAAGGGCTTTCTTTAGCTCTGAACTGCAAATATTTTTTGTTGTTTGTGTATGCTCAAATGGCCCGCATTTGCTTCCTTCTATGCAATGGGTTTGCTGTCTTATGTTGGTTCCTTAAAACAAACCATAGAGAACTGAAAGTTATTTTTACCTTGTCTACTGATAAGTACATAAATCAATATGTTAACCATGTTTTCTTTTTGTTGATGGTGGCAGATACGTATCCATGGCTGATATAATCGATCTTTCATCTCTAGTGTCCGGTTCAGGTGTCAAATTTATAGACTTCAGGGCTTTTGTGTCTATTTGGTGTGGTGTAAATGTAAACTCGGCATGCAATGCAGACTCAAGTTCAAGTATGCAATTTTATTTGCTTGAGAATCTGAAACAATGCGGATCATTACTATCTGGCTATGATGGCAATGTAGCCACTTGTTTATTTGCTTCACAAGAAGATTGCAGAACAACAGTATGGACATACCAAAAAGAAGATGGAATTCTAGATTCTTTTCAGGCTGATGATGAGCTCAGGAAGAAAAGGAAAATCTCATACTTGAGAAAAAAGAAAGATGTTTATAAAGCTCTCGGTCCAGGCACTGCTGCTGGATCAGCCACTGTTTTAGCACTCGGTAGCCTTTTCACCGCACCATATAAGGGCTCTCAATCGCACATCGATTTTCAAGAAGCTCCAAGCGATCAAAGGATACAATCTTTGATTCAAAAGATCGAATTTCTTCCATTTGTATCTGAAATCTTGAATGCTGGGAAGAGATTTGCTGTCCAAACAATTAAGGCTCCGTTTGTTTGTGCACAGCTGAGATTATTAGACGGTCAGTTTAAGAACCACTGGAAAAGCACGTTCATAGGAATGAAGCAGAAATTGGACTCGTTAAGAAAAGAGGGTCCTCTCCCAGTTCACGTATTCGTAATGACTGATCTTCCTAGGGTTAATTGGACAGGAAGCTATTTGGGGGATCTGGCGAAAGATCGCAATTTTTTCAAGGTGTTTGTTCTGAGAGAGGAAGATGAGTTAGTAGTTCAGACTGCTAAAAAGCTTTTAAATTCTGGTAGTTATGACGGGGGAGAAAGACAATGCAATGCTTTCTCATTACCCGATATGCTTTTGTATCTGGAAGAAATTATATGTAGCTGTGCTTCTCTAGGTTTCGTTGGGACTTCTGGGTCAACAATTGCCGAAAGTATAGAGATCATGAGGAAAAATAGCATATGTTCGTGACTTGCATTCGCTCGACTGCCAGTGGGAGATAAATGTGCAACAAAATCCCTGTTGATACTTGATAATCTTTGGTATTGCACTTATTTTTGTGCATGCCTAGCAAAGTGTACATTATATGGAAGGAAATTAAATTGATAACATGTTTGATCATTCACGGCAAGAAGAAGCTGGCAACAGAATTGACGAGAAATGGATATTTTTCACTGGAAGAAGCTGTTGAGGGCATTTTTCTTCATTACTGATGTTCTGTTTTCCCATGAAGAGTCATATTTTTCGGACATGATTTGGAGGTATTATGTCTATGGCTCTTTGTGATAACACTGTTTTTGTCTTGATGCCCTTTTGGCCCCTTGGTAATATTTTAGCGTCACGAGCTGACTGTTGTTGTAGGTTGTGCGGGAAGTGAAATAATGACCGCCAAGTTATTTTTTGGCTAAATTGCACTGGTTTAACGCCATAGCAATATTAGCCCCAATATTATAACATTTTGCCTTTTGTTCCTTTAATTTAGTAATTTGCTGTAATTTCAGTCCTGAAATTGCAACAAATTCCCGAATTCATAGATTTTTTATCAGCAATTTAAGTCGTATAATTTAAAAAATGGTTGCAACTTCAATCCTGTAATTTAAAAATATTGTTGCAATCTCATTCCTCAAAGGACTACAATTGCAGCAAACATTAAATCACAGGACCAAAAGGGCGAAAAGTTCCTTGGATTAAAATTGCTATGGTGTTAAGCCAGCAATACTAAAAATGCATTTTTACCCTTTTTTTTTTCAAATATTTTCTTCTGCACATTTTGTTTTTGTCCATTCATGCTAAGTTACTTCGAACAAAGAGTATGTGATTGTGTGGTCTATGCACTTGGAAACTTATAAAGTGCCTCCCTAGAAGGTTAAGTCATAAAATAAGGCAAGGTTGTTTCTTTAATGGTAAGAGCATAATTTTAGTGAAAGAAAAATTCTTTGACGCTCGTCTGCTGACCTTTTCTAATGCTAAACTCATTATTCATTTTACGATGGTTAAGGTTCTCATTGCCATTAACAATCCAGTTAAGCATATATTTTCCTGTTTGAAAGATTTTTTTTTTTTTTTTTTTTTTTTTTTTT